GTTTAAAACAAGTAAGGAAGGGCTAAGTTCGGATGTAACCGAACATTTTATACTCTCGCAAAGTCAAATGGTATACTCGTTTGAGATTTCTTTGTGGATTGGCTGATATTTTCGGTAGAAGGTCAACTATAGGCACTGGAGTTCACATATTTAGTACTTAGGGGCTTGAACAGTTTTGGTTCGATTTAGATAATTTTTGGTCACAAGGTGGCATACTTTAAACGTATTATTCACGCAAAGTTTTACCCCGATATAATCATTGTTGCTTGATATGCATAGTGGAAAGTGAAAGAATCAGATGGAATTGAAAATGATGTTATATGGGAAATAGGCGTGGTTGTAGTCCGATTTCGCCCATTTTCGCACTATAACATAGAAATATGAAAAGAACGTTATGTATGAATTTGGTTGAAATCGGTTAAGCAGATCCCAAGATATGGAGTTTCACCTAAAAGTGGGCTGTGCCACGCCCACTGTCCAATTTTGAACGCGGTTCCTATAAAGTCATCTCATACCATCCCAGAGATAAAATTTAATGTCTCTGGCGTGTTTAGTGCTTGATTTATCGCGCTTTTAGTAGTTTTTAACAGTACCGTTATATGAGGAGTGGGCGGAGTTGCCACCCGATTTCAACTATTTTCACACCGTCAATAGAAGTGCTAAAAACATTTGTTTCCAGTGATATTATAGCATTAGCGCTTTAGGAGATATGCACATTAAACCTATTAGAGGCGGGATGCAGATGCCCCTCCCTAATGTGATCCTGTGTACCAAATAACAGTCTTGTATCTTAATGCGGAGCTTAGTTATGGCAATTTATTTGTTTTTGATTAATGGCGTTTTGTGGGCGTGGCAGTGGTCCGATTACGCCCATCTGCAATACCAACCGTCTCACGGTACCAAGAAACATGTCTACCAAGTTTCATAAAGATATCTCAATTTTTACTCAAGATACAGCTTGCACGGACGGACAGACGGACGGACGGACAGACAGTCACCCGGATTTCAACTCGTCTCTTCATCCTTCACATTTATATATACATAACCCTATATCTAACTCGATTAGTTTTAGGTGATACAAACAACCGTTAGGTGAACAAAACTATTATACTCTGTAGCAACAGGTTGCGAGAGTATAATAACCAAAAAAACACGCTTTTAAAGCACTTCGAACTAAAAAAATGAATAATAATTTCTTATATAAACTGGCAGTAATATTGACCGAAAAATACTAGTAATATTGTGCGAAAAGTGTGGTATGCTCGATATACGAAAAATTTGGCACTAGCCATCACCTAGCGTGGTGAATGTTCCTTCATGACGTGGTGTAATTTCATTTTCGAACTTATCTCATAATAATTTACATATTAGAACAGCTAACATTTGCACCTTCTCTATTCATTAACATTCTCTGATTCTAGTGAAAGCATAAATTATATAAAACCAATTTATACCAATTAGTTTGTATATCTGCGAAACTTATGTCGTCACAATTTCAAAAGCACATTAGTGAAATGTTAATTAAGTAATACATAACAAAAACACACCGAAGGTTTGTCGTACGTTCGTCTCAAATAAAGGTTTTCTATTAATATAATATTAAATAATAATAATAATAATAGTACTAAACAAATAAGTAAACGGATATCAGTCTCAACCTAAACGCACCTTAACAGTAAACGTAAAGAACCGATTTCATATTACGCTGCATCTCCGCAAGCAATGTACATACATTTCTAGCCATCTGTCAAATATTGCCATTGAAGTTGGCAATGTTCTTTTGTGGGCATATGCTATCATGAAATAATCATTCTCGAAATGGCATCGCGTAGGTATGTTCGAGCTGATATAGCGCATGTTTGAGCTCTAGAACCGTGTAAATGTATTTGAAAGATTTGAAAAATCTACTTGTTCTACAAATGTATATTTTGAAAAAATAAGATTTTATATTCTAAGACTACTTAAATATTGTTGCCTAAAATTTATTTAATAATTGAATAATTAAGTGTGAGTAATGATATTTACATATGCTAACAATTATCATGAAAATTTATGTATGTATTTAATTGCTATTTTCCATGTGTTGTTAACATTTATGTTATGAGTATGACTTTGCTAAGTTGTAGTTTACGCAACAAAATAAATTGCTAAACATTAGTAATGTACATGGGCAATATTTCTAGCTATTCAGATTTTAGAAATCTTTCATTGCCTGTCGAGACACCCCTTCAATAAATATCGCAACACGAAAAATAACCGGATATATATACTAGAGAAAAGTAATCACAAAAAAGAAACGACTAAGAAGTGAGCCATTTTATTAATCGTATACCAAAAGAATTTCTAATTGCGTTTCCTTTGTTAGGAAGACAAATCATTTATGCTAAATCGATTGCAGTGAAAACACAGAAAAATTGTTGGTGAATTTTAACGAAAGAAAACCCGAAATAGAAATATCACATGCATATGTAATTTTACTTTCCTGGTTATATACATATATTTGTTCCTGGTAATGTTGGTGTCAATATTATATGCAAAAATGAGTGATTCAGGTGACTTTGAACATTTATAGAAGAAGTGGAATCGGGAAGAAGGAAAGAGTGCTTATTTTTAATAGGTTTGAGTACTACATATTGGAAAATTTGTATACTAAATCTAAAAACAAATACCTGGTATCAATAGTATACAAACAAGATCCAGTGTACGCCATTTTGAATATTTTGACATTTTACTTGCTTGCGACTTGTTTGGTTTTCGTTCTGAACAATTGAACTCCTACAGTGCTGTTATTCAAATAATAAAATTATATAATACACCTCCGAAAAATATATGTGCGGATCGCTATATAAATAGAATAAAGACATTTTGTTGCCCAAGGTGTAATGTTTACTAAGCAGTGTGATCAAATTAAGTTGTATAACTCAAAAGTAAAGCGCGTTATAGTTAAAAAAAGAATAATTGTTCATCCATCTACGATGTTTAAGAACACAAACATATGTGGAAATCTGATAACGGCAATGATAGTATACCCAAAACAACAATTCAGAATCCGAATTGCTAGCCAACCGGCGAGAATAAGAGTTTGTGTTTAGATTGACCATTGCAAAGTATTTGCGTGAGTCTACAACATAATTAGGCCTATAAGTTATATGCATCGTTAATGTAAAAGATTTCAAAACGGGAAATAAATACGTAAAGCCTTCAGGATCAAAATAAATATACGGAATACGCTATAATTATAACTATTGCAACGGTCAAAATCATCATAACAGTTTTATTAACAAGTTGTGGGGATATTACTAATAGTTTTGCAAAATGAAGTTGTTGGAGAGTTCTCGCTTTGAAGCGATTAATAATGCATTATCTATACAAACTGGTGGGAGTACAATCTTTGGTCGTATTGAAAGCTATTCCTGCAAAATGGTAGCGGCTGATAAAGCTCTGTATAAAAGATTCACCGCTGATACACACGGTGTTGGACCACATGATCTACAAGCACTTTCACCACCACAAACTTTAGCTGACCTTTCACCAAACTTCCATCGCAACAATAGCCAGTCGGGGGACGAAGGAATAATCCTTTGCGATACTATATCTCGCAAGACTCTTTTCTACTTGATTGCTACATTGAATGCTTCATTTGAACCAGATTACGATTTTTCTGATGCCAAGGTAGGATTTATAACAAAAATTAGCAGTTCAAAGACAAAAATATTTTAACTATTTCAAATTATATCTATATATATATATTCTTAACTGGGGAACCTCCTGTATCCGCCCATACACATTTTATCCCCGAATTCGTGGGACGGCATTCTAAAGCCCAACCAATATATATAATATTTATTTGTCAAAATATTCTGTTTTTCCATTACAGTCTCACGAATTTAGCAAAGAGCCTTCGCTACAGTGGGTGATGAATTCAGTTCATTCGAATTTATCGGCTTTAGCTGGAGACCAATATCAAGTTTTACGTCAACCCTTATGGACGGCTATAGATGATGAAATTAATTTATCTGATTGTGACATTTACAGCTATAATCCGGACTTGAGTTCAGATCCCTTTGGTGAACCCGGTTGTTTGTGGTCTTTTAATTATTTCTTTTATAATAAAAAGTTAAAACGCATCGTCTTCTTTACATGTCGTGCAGTAAAGTAAGTTATTTTACATCCTTTCGAAATCATAAAAATAAATTTTCTGTTTTTCAGTTCAATTTACGCCGGAGAAACATCTGATTTTTCCATGGAAGATGATGTTTATTAAGGACTATGCAAAATTCTCAAAAATTACGAGAACACAGTTCGAATTTTTCAATTAATAATCTTAACATTTAACTAACATAAATAGTTACAAAATGATTAATGGAAAACACTGCTTGTTAGTTGAATGTAATACTACAATTACTCCATTACTTACAATTATAAAGGATTTACAAGATAATAACTCGTGGGGACTATATGAACCGTAGGCGTATTCAGATCCTGCAAGGTTAAGAATAAATAGTGTATTTAACTGTATGTATCTTTTCAAGTATATTTATTGGCATAAAGGCAGGTGAGAGCTGCGATGTGAGAATTTGTGCCTCTAAATATACACGATGCCAATAGTTTAGTTTAAAACTTCGAATTTCAAACTTAAACATATTCAAGTATTTTACCAGGAAAAATACTTCATTTGAAAAATATCGGAGAATATTGATATTTTATGTAGTATTCAGTATTTGTACACTTTAAATGTTTGGATATGTTTATCCTTGAAGTTCGCACTCCATGCGTTAGCATTCAATAAACGATATGGTTATTGAAGGCAAATAAAATTTGCTATGGATTTTAAATGTATCGTTCTTTTAGTAATAAGATTATATTTGCTAGTATTACTCTATTAAAAAAACAGCATATTCGTTGAAACGTGCGTTTTAGCTCTTAAAATTTAATATTCAATTTGAACTCAAATAAATATGTAATACTAGTATGTAATGAAAAAATAAATAAAACGCAGATTTAAATTGCACGTTTGTGTCTTATTTATTACATGTTTCTTTATTTTGAGAATATTGTGTACACTTTTTCACAATTTCTTCGCTCTTATCCGATGAAGCCAATGATTGTAGATACAAATTGAATAAAGGATGGTTCTTATGTGCCAAGCAAAGCACTCCGTACTGGAATTAAATTATATGTATATGTAATGTTATAGTCTGTCCATTCTTTAAATTAACTAAGTTTGATATAAAATAACTTTAGTTTTAAACAAACTACTACAAACAATTCAACTATTTTTGAATGTTTTCATTAGATTACCTTTACACAAAGTGGGTACCATCTGGCATCTATACGTCCGCCACTCGGAGTAGTAACAGTGAGCACCTTTGCTAGGTTTTTAACATCCCGCTTTAGTAAACAAGTTCTTGCTAAAGACATCTTTGTGCAAATGTCTGCTGATCGCATTCCCCTTATGTTATTTTCTGAGCTACGATGAATAGCTTTCGCGCAAGAATTATTTCGGTCAGCCCATACTGTGTGTTGCGGATTATTTATCACTTCTAATGTTTTTTCAAACACACTTTTAGGAATTTTTATGACATTGTTCGTATTTTTATTCTGTTTGTTTATTTTTCCACTCTTTCTGGCTGATGCAGACATAATTCCGGCCATTTTAGTACAACTCAAAATATTTGGTCGCAATATCGCACTTGTTTACTGAATATTCAATAACAAATAAAAAGAAAAACAAAGATTGACATCAGGAACAAAGTGAAATGAAGAACAGAAATACAGGATGAATTGTATAAAAAAACTATTATTTATTTTTTACGTTACAGAGTTTAAAGTAATACAAAGTGGTTAACATTACATAAAATATAAACTTTCTTTTTTTATGTAGAAAGAGTATTAAATTTAAAACCGCTTTCGTCATATTATTTTTCTGTTCCCTATGTGAATTGACCAAGATAACTATTTTAATTAAAAAAATTCAAACTGATCCCAAATTTAGTGTTGCGGCTTGTGTATTTCTATTGTAATACTAGAAACAGTCACCGACGTTCCGCCTTGTCGTACTTACCGCCCGGATTAAACGAAATTTGTCAAGTTTGCCCGTAGTGGCATCGTAGAAATCAATTGTTCTCTTTTGTTTTTATTTCACCAATGTTGCCATTGCTCACTTTGTATACATGATTTTGCACAAATTTGGCTTTTAGTTATAATTTTTGATAATGTAAAAGCTCAAAACTAAAATCCAACTACTAAAAATGTATTCGACTGTGATTTTGAGTTAGTTTAAGAATATTTTAAAAGTATTCAAGTTTATTTTTTTATTACTACAAAATATCGAGACTGGCAATGCTGCGTTGCAAGAGAGCAATCAGCTCACTCGTTTCTACGGGGAAAATCCAACTTTCGCGGATATCCCACCGTACGGTTTGTAGAAGCGGTGGTGAGTGTTAATTTATATTGCGCTCTCATAAGATAGGTCGTATCAGCTGATTCGGTCTACGGTTTTGCGTCGGTGGCTGTTTCCAGCATAATGCAAGTTGCTTATGATAATTGGATTTTTAAATAGTCACTGTGTGTTTCATTCCACATATTCACATTGACATGAATAAAGAGATCAGCAGTAAACATTATAAGATGAAAACATTTGTTTGTCGATGGTGGAAAATATTTATTTTGTTATCATAAATCTTTTATTCCAATATTAAACAATAGCTAAAGGACGACAAGAAAAATATGTGATTGCGGAAGTTCACATTTGGTATAATACATTGTAAAATAATGAAGCGAAAAATTGTGTTTGATATGTAATTTTTGTATTCCAGCAAATGTATAATAAATAAAACAAAATGTCAAGAGATATCGATCAGGAAGTGTCCGATACTTTGAGTACTCTTTTGAGTTTCGATGAGGATAATTTTCTTAGTCAGGAGGAAGTTGAGGAGAATTTAAGGAACTGTCCAAACATTGAACATGTTTCATCTATGGAAAAAATATTTCAGAATTATAATGATCCAAATACCAGTGTTAGAATAAGTGATACTAATGATGATGAAGTTGGTGTCACCAATAATGTTTGTGAAAAGGAAATTTATTCGCTTACTGAAGACGTAGCTGCTGTGAATAAGGAAATTGTTTCGCAAACATTAAATGAGGAATTCACTGAGGAAGTAGTTACTTGTCTATCTAAATATCCCAATGATTTCCGAATTGAAGCTGTTCATGAATCTAAGGAAATTGGTAAAGACAATTTACAAGCAACCAGTGTCATTGCTACAAAGGATGCATTAAAAAGTTCCATAATGCATCCCAACGACATTAAAATGGAATTTACATGCGAAACCGAACAGATTTCAGAAGAACAAATTGGTGATTATTATATAGAAGAACAGTACAAAGATGATATAAATTTAAATTGTGCTGCACCAGAGGTAGAAATAGGTAGTGTAAATGAGATTACTGATAAAAATGATAACGATAGCAACAATCCATGCAACGAGATACTCGACAACGTAATCCTGGGGCAGAGCTCACATTACACTGCCACTGAAGAATTCAATGTTGATAATGACCGCGACATTTCACATATAATGAACGATCATAATTACACTTCTCAAAGACAATTAAATAATGGCGATAGTTTGCGCAAACTTTTGTTCAATCATATTTTTAGTAGAAAGGCTTCCTCCTCTACTGCCGTAAATCTTGTCAATGATTTTGTAGACAGAACTTTAGAAAGTATTAATACATTTAGTACACAAGAAGATAAAGATAATAAGATTTCAAAGGGTGATACATTAAACTTAATAGATATTTTTGTCGATGGAAAATCTTCAAAAAGCGCAATATTTGATGAGGGTTTGAAATCTTTAGCTCATAAAAATGCTATTGAGTCAATGGAAACAGATGAAACTAGTACGAAAAATACACGATTTGATGATGAAACCGATTCAACTGCTTTGTCTAAAACAATAGCTTATAGTAATGAAAATATAACTATGAGTATATCCTCTATACCTTCGCCACTAGAAATTTGTTCAGAACCGTTAGAACATGCCATGCATGGTGATTGTTCACAGAAATCAAGTACTATTACAGATAATGAGTCAAAAAATAAAATTTGTTTTGATAACTTCCATAAAAACAGTCAACGTAACACAACAAATAATGAAACATTACAAAATTTGGAATCGAAAATGGAGGCTGAATTAAAAATTTACTCAGTTGGACCGCCGTCAGAAAAAAATTGTTTGAAAACATTGGATAACATAAAAAGCGAAAGCAATGTGGAAAAGAAAAATACTGTAGCACCTATGAAGCAGATATTGGAAAACACCACAGATCAAATGCGGTTCGCAAAGCCGGCATTATTTTGTGCTGGTTTGGAAAAATTTAATAACCGTTATGCTGAAAATGATGACGTAGATATTGATACCACCACTGAGGAATTCGCTGTTAACGAAAAATCGCCAAAGCAATCGACTACGGATGCCAGCACAACCACAAATGAAGTTAATAAATTACCAACTGAAAGTAAGGAAAATGAAAGTAATCCGCTAGACAATATCGATTTCAAAACGATTAATATTGCATCCGTACCGTCACCAGTAGAGAATTGTTCGGAACCAATGGAACACTCAACTTTCGATGAAGCATTCGATATTAATTGTAATGAAAAACTGACTGTTATTCATCATTTAGAGACACTGAAGTCGTTTGCTAAAGCTTTGCAAAACGATTGTGACACTTTTACTTCGTCTACAACAACAATCGAAAATAAGCTTCAAAAATATTTACAGGAACAATTCGAAATATTTAAAAGAATAGTAAAGTCCTCTGCTGCCGTTCGTTGTGAAGACAAGTCGATACAGACAGACAGTAGATTATCTAAAAATAAATTACGCAAACTTAATCAAAGCAATAAGCAAATTTTATTAGATGCTACGGACTCAGACAGTTCAAGTGATTCCAGTCAGACGGAAGCTTTGATAAAATTACCAGGAAATAGATTTCGCACAAAATGCTCAACAAAAAGTTCGGAAGTAAGTGCGGCAACGCAAATGCTTAGTGCGCATAAAAAAGAAAGCATTGCAGCTGAGTATGACGATGGTGTACCTTTGGCGGAGTATACGCAATCTGAAATATTCGAAACTGAAACATTTTGCAATGAGAATTTCACTAACATTCGAAATGTAAATAAAAAAAATAACTTAAGTGATAGCGATGAAAGCGACGAACGAGATACTTGGCAACGTAAGAAGAGTAGCACGGATGCAAATTCGGTGCGAAATGGTGCACAAAATGAAAGCGACAAAGAAAATTCAGCGGGAAAAACTTTGAGTAGTAAGAATTCTCAAAATGATGGGGACAAGGAAATTGAACGGTAACAATTAACTGTGAAATTATATTGTTGCTATAATTAAGTTGTATTTATTTACTTGAAAATTTAGGTTGATTAATTTGAATGGCCTGATAAAGCGAACAAATCTTGGAGCACCAAAATCAGCAGACTTAAATGAAAAAGTTAAAACAAAATCAACTACCAGTAAAAACAAAGATATAGCTGATGATTACATTGATGACGAAATTCAGACAGAAATATTTTCCGACGCGAGCATAAGTGAAGTAAGTAATTTATTGATAAATAAGGTTAAGGTTTTTTAACTTTGATTGCACCGAAGCTATAATACCCTTCACAAATAAAAAAGCATCCATACAAGAACTTAATTTTGGCAGTTTATATGGCAGTTATACCTATGCTACAGGGGTCCGATCTGAATAATTAGTTCGAAAATTAAATCGTTGCCTCGATCATGCCAAATTTCGAGAAAATCTGTCGTCAAAAAAAAAGTTTTCCATAAAAAAATTGATTTTGATCAGTCAGTTTGTATGGCAGCTATGTATGTATATGCTATAGTGATTCGATTGGTATAATTTGTTCGACGATTTTATCGTTGCCCTGAAGATATCTTTTCAAATAAAAGAGCTTTTTATACAAGAATTTAATTTTAATTGTTCACTTTGTATGGCTGGTCCGACAAATGAGCAAGTTCTTGGGGAGAAAAGGTCGTGTGCAAAATTTCAGATCAATATCTAAACACTGAGCGACTACTTCGCGTATATACAGACAGACAGACGGACATAGCTAAATCGACTCAGCTCGTCACGCTGATTATATATATATATATTTTATATGGGCTCTGATTGTTACAAACATAATATACCCCTTATTATAATTTCGTGTAACACTGCCTGACACACTTCTTTTTGTATATGTTTGTTTCCGAAGAGTGAGGAAGAGATTATAACGGAAAAACAGTTTTTGAAGCGATGTAATGAGAATGTAAAGCAACAATTGCTCAGTGAATCGGATAGCGATACGTCCGAATCGGATGCCAGTGATAATATAGAGGAGATACTATCTAGCAATGAAGGTAGTAGCTCACCTTTAGTTGAGAGATTTCTGAAGAACTTCAATGTCAATGAAAGCGACGAAGAGACTGAAGTATATGATAAAACGGTGGATACGAAAACACCCGCAGGACAGGAAACTGCTGATGCTAAAAATACAATAATTGATAAAAACAAGACGAATTCATCGGAAAATTCTGACTGCGAAGTACTCGATGAAATGGTGGCGTCAACACAAAAACAAAGTAAACCAAAATCCTTGGAAAAAATGCTATCAGTTGTTGAGAAGAGAAAGAAAATGAATCGACTTTGTGACTCGATAAGTCTTAGTTCGGAAAGTGAAACGTCTGATGTGGAAGCAGTAGATGAGTCTAAATCACGCATAAAACCAATGTTACGTCCGGAGCAGTTAGCAACGGTAACACGTGAAGCACAACGCAACGAAACTGAACGTATACGACGTTTGGAGAGAAAACACAAAGTACTGGCAAAATTACTAAAGGAGCGACCCGATGTACAAGGCGACAACAATTTAATTTTAGATTACAATGATGAAACGAAAACCTTTATTAAAGTACATCCGGATATAGTGAAATATTTGAAACAGCATCAGCGTGACGGTGTGAAATTTATGTACGATTCATGTTATGGCGGTGTTGAGGCGCTTAAAAAAAGCTCTGGCTCTGGTTGTATTTTAGCGCATTGCATGGGTTTGGGAAAAACATTACAGGTAAAGTGTTAATACTAGAAATCGCTGTAATAATAAATAAATAAAATTATGCAACTAATTTTACGTTACAGCTGATTGCGTTACTGCATACAGCTATTTCATATAAGGAATTGAAGACATGTAAAGTACTTGTATTATGCCCTAAAAGCACAGTCATGAATTGGGCCGATGAAATTGATCGCTGGCTGGGCCCATTAAAACCGAAATATTATACATTTCATGATACGTCGTAAGTAAAATTCAACACTCCTCAATAATTTCAAGTTTAATATAATTTATTTATTCGCTTATTTTCCAAAATTTTCATAGTGACATCAACGATAAAATCCAAATATTGAAAGATTGGTCTCAGGCAACTCCGAATGCAGCCGGTATATTGCTAATTGGCTACGAGGCTTTTAGAACACTGGTTTTCTATCATTCGTATAAGAATCGCAGTATTGCTCAGTCACGCTTGGAAAGCATACGCAACGATGTCGACAAATATTTGTTAAGTCCAGGT